ACAACTAATGATGTTTTCACACAAACAAAATGTTATAACGTCATAACCACATACATCTAAAGTATAATCTCATAGTATGAACATCAATTTTAAATGCAACAATAACTAATGAATTCAAGACACAACCAGCGCATTATAATTATGAATCAAGAGGATTTGCTCGATAAATCCGACATTTTTAGAAATCGTGTTTTCATTAAGAGATAAGAAATCGTTTTGTCTGTCGCACAATGTGTATGTGTCCATGTCAGACGTGAATTAATAAAATATCTGAATGGATACGAACTCGAGGTGGAAAGTTAGCTAATTGATCAAAGAGACAGTATCCTTGTTGACTTACAGGTTTTCGATTAAATATTAATATATTAATAGGCCGATACCAGTAAGTAAAGAAGTTGATACGTTTTTCGTGGTTTGCTGGTTGATTACCCATCTGTTGCAAACTTTAAGTACAGACGGCTACTAAATGAAGAGGTTAGAGAGGATAGTTACAGAGAGATGTTTAATGATGGTGTTGCTGTCCAAGAGAGATGTTGTTACAGAGAGATGTTACTGTTACAAAGAGATATTACTGTTACAGAGAGATGTTGTTACGAGAGCACTAAATAAACTGTATTTTAAAGTGGGTAGGACAAATGTAATACAACTTTATCTTTACCTCATTAACAACAATACGTCATCGTGGGGGGACAAAACATATTTCTCTGTGCGTCATCGTAGCTTGACGTTGGTTGGTAGGTCACTGGTAATGATGCGCCGGATGTGTTTGGACAGTGGAGGAAGTCATCGCAACCTGACTCAACAGATACGGGTCACTGGATACCAAACCAACACCTGTAACATACATGACATTAGGTACTGTCCTAGTAGGTCTTACACCTGATTAAGGGATGTAGTATTTTCTTTAAACTTTAAAATATTAGCACGCCTTAATATTACTATCCTCGATGGAAATGTATTAGTAGTACATTTGCAGGCACAAATTACAGACTGAGACAGTCAGGTAGCAAGCAAGTGACGATTGATTAGAAAATAAATTGCTATTTTGATGAACTAGTATTGTGTTGCAGTAGAACTGAGTACCTTAATGTAACATGAAGAAATAGTTCTGTCGTATATCCTTTACACTTCATCAGAAAATTAAATCCATATATGTTCTACTTCTTGGAGCAGTTGAACCATCAACTTCCCATGGTTTTTTTTTCCTAAGCATAGATATCAGCCTTGAGTCTGTAGACTAAAAGAGTTAATTAGTACTAAAGTAATGAATGAAAAAGGTTGCCGGCCTTTAGTTTCTCACATGAGCCCATCTTGCGATGGATGACTTGCCCCGGAGCACCAGCCTCCCGAACAGCCGAGTCACTGGCCAGCCGTGATGACAAAGAAGAGAAATCGGATTCGACGTGTTCGCTCATGTCATGGGAATTTTTTCCATTTCAGGGTAGCTAATCAAAAATGTTAAAAAATAAACTCAGACAAATGAAGGTTTAAAGGTGCCTCTTGTGATGTATATAGTTCCCAGTACTCAGAGAAGCAGATACAAATTTATCGATGCAAAAATATCTCACGACGTTTAAGTATAAAGATATATTACTTTTAAAATAATATTTTTTATGCTTTTAGATTTCGGAATGGATTTCTCACGTATTTCCTTCGAAGAAGAAAAAGATGTAATTCAATAATATGCGAGTAAAAAATAATGGGAACAACGACCGATGTATGTTCCTTTTTAAAATCGTGTTTTTTTTAATAGCGCTATTCGTTTTGTCTTATAAAGCTAAGAAAAACATTGATCTATCTATTAATGCCAGCAAGTGGAGATTTCTTTTAAAAATCTGTGTTCAGATCTAAAAAGGGGAGGAAACCTCTAGTAATGTCAGAGACATCATTAGACAGTTGTGATGGGCCAGTCCAATCAATGTGCAATAACTCTGATTTCACCACCAACTCGCGAGCTTCTACAAAATCGAAATTTCATCTAGTTTGGAAGCTAAAGCTAGTCCCACTACATTTTTTTACAATTACATCTCAGCAGTGACTCAGACTAGTTAGGGGAGAAAGAAGCGTTAAACACATGAGTTGTGTGGCGTTGTTTCAAGTCATATGTGAAGGACATTGGTTAAACACATGAGTTATGTGGCGCTGTATCAAGTCATATGTGAAGGACATTGGTTAAACACATGAGTTATGTGGCGCTGTTTCAAGTCATCCTTGAAGGACATTAGTTAAACACATGAGTTATGTGGCGTTGTTTCAAGTCATATGTGAAGGACATTGGTTAAACACATGAGTTGTGGCGTTGTTTCAAGTCATCCGTGAAGGACATTGGTTAAACACATGAGTTATGTGGCGTTGTTTCAAGTCATCCTTGAAGGACATTGGTTAAACACATGAGTTGTGGCGTTGTTTCAAGTCATATGTGAAGGACATTGGTTAAACACATGAGTTATGTGGCGTTGTTTCAAGTCATATGTGAAGGACATTAATTAAGCACATGAGTTATGTGGCGTTGTTTCAAGTCATATGTGAAGGTTGCCGTTATTTAACACGAAGAAAGTGTAACAATAATGCCTTTTCACCAAATATCGGATACCATTAGTTTACTGGACGGTAAATAGTGGGCAGTAAATGTTTAATAAAACCTAATACCACGATGTCTGTATGAAGCAACAAGGGATTCTGCTGCCTTTGATTAAAGCATCGCTCACACTGCATCGCAGCTTTGACTCCCATCTTGAAACTATTCTAGTAATAGCGCTGGATTTGCTTGCATAGCTGTTCTCCACCCAAGATCAATCTGCGATGCAGCAGTTGATGTTTTCTACTCTAGATGATTTCTTGCCTCCAGCAATTAGCATATTGCTTGCCCCGGGTCCGAACTAAGAACGTTTTGGGTTAGCAGCAATAAGCTATCCTACCCGACCACGCCATCCACTTACTAAATACGTCAATTACCTCTTCCTTGAGACATTAATAATTTCTTGCAAAATATTTGCCGATTTTACTTTCTCGTTATATAGTTACGTATTGCAATCGTGCGAAAAAAAATTAATTTTTTTTTACACCTTGATGAGTCAGTAATGAGTAAAACAAAGTTTTGTGATGTTATCTGTGTGTGTGTGTGAACATAATAACTTGAGTGTCGTTTCAGTTAGACAGACGAAATTGTATACATAAAGTATTTGGTATACATAGGTTTCTTTCACCTTTTGAGCTATTTAAGGCAACCGCAAGTGGCACTTCAGTCGATTTCAGCTATCATAGAAAATCTCCATTTTGATCATTTAAATATTCTCATATAGCATATTTGAAGAATGTTTCACCTGTGTTTCCTTAGGAAAAACGAGTCTTTTGTCACAGACACCGACAATGTCTATAGACTTGTACATGTAAATTTCAACATTCAAGTACATTACAAGAAAAAAAGGTTTCATTATTAAAGATTTTATAAAAAGAAGACCTGAATTCTCTTTTGCAATGGCTTGTAACCCATAATCTTTGAAACCAGATGTATTGACACTATTTCTTCACTTGAGTGTGTAGTATCACCACTTTAGTCCTGTTTGGTAGCAACAGACAAGAAGATTCAATTGACTGCGTTAGCTTAGCTGCGAAAAAGTACCGAAGGCAACGTTTGAAAGCCAATTAAAGTCATGTGTGGGACTGATCAATAGAGGAAGTACTTTAAGAGAGTACCAGAGAGCCAGTAGTTTGATGTTGATTACTATCGTGCCGACATGGTTCACTAAAACACAGTGTGTTTGTGTTGCAAATGCATGCCTGTTACACTTGTAACAGTACACACGTGAAACGATAACATTCATGTAACGAAGCGAATGTTCCAGTTGTCAGAGGTCTTGCCCCTTAAAAGCCAAAGCCTACTCATGAGATAATCACTTGTCGTAGGAGACGGGTTTCAACGCTAATTTATTGACATGCACGCTGCCCTCACTTAAGCACCCATTGATTTCATGTCATTTGAAAGCAGAATGTCTTAGATATGTTAGGACCGATTATCTGTCAACACCCAGATGGATCAAAGATGTCTTATCTATTAGGTAAAAAATAAAGGTCGCTTATTAGAGGACTGTAACATTTGGTAAAGTACGTTTAAAGCTTTATTTGACCAGATACGAATGGTATTTGAGTGTTTTTGATTTGCGCTCATGGTCAATGATTTGGGTTTTTCCTCTTTTTCTCGAAATCCATGTATCCTGTTCTACAGCCTAAGAATAAGATACAGCCTGTCTATCTAGACAAGCAGCCTCACCTATCAGCGCGACTTCACAAGATATTGTCTATTTAACTAGATAAGCAGTCTCACTTATTAGTTTGACTATTTAAGATACAGTATATTTATATAAGCAGTCTCACTTACTAGCTGGAATCAAAGATATTGTCTATCTAGATAAGCAGTCTCACTTATTAGCCTGACTCTCCAAGATACTGTCTATCCCATATCATTTTGACGGTCTCAGATAGATTGCATCAATCGAGACAAGCAGCTTCAGCTATCCCCGTGTATCGATCACCCCAAGTCCATCTGACGATCCATCCGACTAGATCCATTTCTCTCTGTTTTCTCATTATATCACGCCCTCTCGTCCTGTATGGCACCAATGTGTAGCTATCGGATGACACATCATACCACATTTCTCACAAGACATCGATGTGCATCATAGCATTTCTTCCTTTCTATACCTCACTGTCTTGTGAAGTACTGTTTATCTTCCACTTGCTGACATTTTAATCGACACCAAATATAGAAGATTTATTTAAAGTTGTCTGCCAACTATATCAGTTAACCAAGATTTTAAAAAAACATCCGTGTTTGGCTGTAAACATTGTGTCCTACTACTACTACTAATACTACACGGTAGCTGCAGTACTTCATACAAAATGAAGTTTTATTTACACAGAATGATATGTGGTGGCAATAATCTAAGCTGCATTACTGTTGACAATCACTAAACAACATTTTGATTCATTAACTCTAACAGGTAATTTATTACAAATGAAAAACAGGTACATGTTTAAGTTTTGACACATCCTGTCTAGCCACTTCTTTAGTTATCTACAAAGACTACCAGCATGCATCAAATGTCATAAAATAAGTTATGCCCTTTCTATGTACCGATTTAAGCAAAATCAAAACTGTTGGTAAATTTTAATAATTAAAAATATTCAGGTTATTATTATACTAATCAGCTTATTGCTTTAAAAATAGCATAACTTAGCTTTTTAGCATAGGGAAAATAATAAATAATAGTAACATTTTATTAAAAACAATCCTTAAAGTCTAATGCAAATTTAGTTCAATGAAATTAAGACTAACACAATTATATTATCAGAATGTTTAATAAATACACCAGTTAAAAAGAAACAAAAAAAAAGAGTAAGGAATATTAAGTCTTAGTGACCAATATAGTCTACTGAGCGGAACCCAGTTGTTATTTAGCAAGAGGTTTGTATTGCTTATAGTAAACTTTGCCATCTCTATTTTCCGAAATTTCAGGACTGAATAAGTTCAAATAACACAATTACAAAATAGGCAATAACGCTGGTTTAGTAAACAGCTTTAGTTAAATCAAGTTAAAACACTGACCAAATACTAATTTAAACAATCAAAACAGAAAAAAAGCATTTAAAATAAAACAAAACAAATGCTGAATTGAGAATACATTTCACAACTGTTAAACATTTACTGTCTATTGGCGAACTTCTTCTTATACTTGAGGTCAATGAAAGTGGTTTGAGCTTTCTTCTCTAGCTGGGCAAGTTCTGCTACGGTAGGAGCCAGAAACTCCACGTGTCCCTTGTACATGCTCCCTGTGAGAGAGAATAAATGTTCATGTTACAGGTCTCAATAAGGAATGATTCAGACATGTCATAGGGTCAAACAACTTGATGTTACAGGTCTCAATAAGGAATGATTCAGACATGTCATAGGGTCAAACAACTTGATGTTACAGGTCTCAATAAGGAATGATTCAAACATGTCATAGGGTCAAACAACTTGATGTTACAGGTCTCAATAAGGAATGATTCAAACATGTCATAGGGTCAAACAACTTGATGTTACAGGTCTCAATAAGGAATGATTCAAACATGTCTTGGGTCAAACAACGTGATGTTACAGGTCTCAATAAGGAATTATTCAAACATGTCTTGGGTCAAACAACGTGATGTTACAGGTCTCAATAAGGAATGATTCAAACATGTCATAGGGTCAAACAACTTGATGTTACAGGTCTCAATAAGGAATGATTCAGACAAGTCTTGGGTCAAACAACATGATGTTACAGGTCTCAATAAGGAATGATTCAAACATGTCATAGGGTCAAACAACTTGATGTTACAGGTCTCAATAAGGAATGGTTCAGACATGTCTTGGGTCAAACAACGTGATGTTACAGGTCTCAATAAGGAATGATTCAAACATGTCATAGGGTCAAACAACATGATGTTACAGGTCTCAATAAGGAATGGTCAGACATGTCTTGGGTCAAACAACTTGATGTTACCAGACTCAGTAAAGGACAGGTACCAAACATGTCTTGGGTCAAACAACTTGGATGTTACCAGACTCATTAAAGGACAGGTACCAAACATGTCATAGGGTCAAACAACTTGATGTTACCAGACTCATTAAAGGACAGGTACCAAACATGTCTTGGGTCAACTTGATGTTACCAGACTCAGTAAAGATTAGTTAACAAATGTGTCATTATCATTGAAGTTTAACTTTTAAAAATGCTTATAATAACAAGCTTTTATATAATAAGGATTAAAAAGAAGAAGACGTTATTATTTAAATTTATAGTAATGTACCACCTTTTACACAAATATAAAAAAAGTTTTAAATAAATCATATTTTAATAAAATAAAAAAGTGAATAAAGATAAGTATTTTCATTATTTTTTTTTTTAATTAATAATTTTATTGTGTCTAAGTTTATGTCACATTACATTGTCATCTGGTCTTGACCAATGTTCCAAGTTAGGGAACAAGCACAATAGACGAATCAAGTACGAAGTAATAAAAAAAAAGCATGAAGAATCAAGTTAAAATAAAAGCTTGTTACAAAAGCACGTATCTGAAAAGATGTACTTTTATTAAAGAGATTATGTACATTACACAAAGTAAACCTGCAATAGACAAAGAATTTACGACAACTGTAATTCTCTTTGTAGAGATCATCCCTTTGTAAGCTTACAGAACAAGCTAAATATCTATACTTTGTTTCTCTACACAATAAAATACGGACATAGCTTATGTTTCTCAAGAACGGACCAGGCTTTGAGAGACCGAGATACTGTAAAATGATAGTCAGTTGAATAGAAAACTATTGATATCTTTGGAAATGTAAACATGTTTACCAGTACTGACAGAGTTTAACCAAATGTCAGCATATACTATTATATTTATTTCATTTGGTCAGATTCTTATTAACGTAATAACGACCAATGGCATTAGCTGAGTAGTTTAATAAACATTCTGTATACATCATCAAGATTATAATATTTGGACCGTTATATATATATATATATATATATATATATATATATATATATATATATATATATATATATATACATACATATACACTTTTGGGAATGGCGTAAACATAGTTCTGCTCGAATTTAAATGATAATTTATACTTCGACAGCTTACGGTAGTCCAGAGGTTTAAAACACAGGATGTGAAAATATAAGCCGTAAAATATTTAGCAAGCTTTTGTTGGTGATAATGAGATTGTCAAGTTTATTTTAATGAATTTTCTGAAGGTTCCTATTTTTTCACACGAAAATCTCCTTCAAACCATACTAACAAAGAAAGATCGAGAAGTGATAGTTTCATATCTTAATGCATGCGTTTAATTTCACGGTTTCTATACACTCTATATAAAATTATTATACTTTCTTTAATGACAAATTGTAATATTAGTCGAAATGAGTTACGGTTTAAAAAAAAATAATGATGGTACCAAATATAGAACAAATTAAATTGCTTTAATGAATATGAAGCTAAAGTTAAAAAATAATAAATAAATTGTTAGTGTCAATAGGGGCATAGCAAAATCTCTCCCCCCCCTCTCTCTCTCTCTCTATCTCTCTCTGCGTCCAGGTGAAATGACAATATACGTATATTCCGCCACCCCCCCCCCCCACACACACACTTTATTAATGCCACTAATACTATATGTTTTACCATAGTCTATTACGTTACTAAAACTATTACACTATCACCGAGATACATATAACGTATGGTGAGCGGGTGTGAATACAATAGATGAGCCAGACTAAAATGATGCACTTTTGTGATAAGTATCTTCAGTAGAATTATTCCAACAAAAGCATCCTTGCGACCGACGCATAACTCAATCGAAACCCCCAAAGGGATACCACATACCATCAGTCTAGTAGAGAGAATAAATCATTTGCTGGCTCATATTGCAGAACTCTTACGATAAGCAGCTCACACGGGTATAAATTAGCACAGTACTAGTGAGTTTTTATTTATGAAATACCTTGTAATCTACTTAACTAATTCTCATGTGGGCAGATCACAAATCACTAGTTATGTAGTTTATGATCAAACCAGGGGCGGAACTACCATACTGCCAGACACCGCAATGCGGGGGGGGGGGGAGAGGGGGGGGGGGAGCATGCCGTTTAGGGGTACATAATCCGACCAAAAAAAAACAACTTTTTTTTTACTTTGATCTACCACGTCACTGATTTTTCTACAATAACTAACACAAAATACTGCATAGACAAAAAAAAAAGTTACAAGAGCTGTAGTGTGAAAGATACGCAAACTTTCAAATCAATTCCATGACTTATCGCTGCTCCTTAAATAGTCTAATAGAAGTGCCCATAAATCTCATTTAAATAGTTTTTTACTAAGCAGATTAAAAAGCAATTCTATATCTATCTATTATTAAAATAAGACATACTAAAGAATGACAACAAAAAAAAAAAAAAAGAAATGTATTCAAAATTATTAATATAAAAAAAATATAAGAATAAAACAAATACGGAAAACAGTAAACATAGAAAACGTCCGAGTATACTTTTGACCAGCTTGCCAGTTATGAAGTTACTCTTTTCACAATTTTTAGTGAGTATAAATGAGATAAAGACGTTTGATAAAACGATTATATGAGGCCCGAAATGAGTTAGAGCATATTTTTGTGTGACTTCTTATCTCACGATGGATATACTTTGCTATGAAATAGGTTAAATTACTAAATTAGGAAAGGGTTAAAATATGTAATTTAAATTTAATCATCGAGTGTCGTGTGCAGCCTTGTCAATATTGCAGGGTGCTCCTTAAAACTAACGTAGGCTCCATAGTGCCCACAGGATAGCACAGGGTGCCAAATCGCACCGGGGCGCCGGAGGACGCGCCTGATTCGATATAGTCAACGTTTATTGTTGCTCATCGAGCCTTTTTTTTTAAAAAAAAAACGAACGTAGGCTCCATAGTGCTCACATGGGAGCCCGGGGCGCTTCGGGTCACGTAATAGCCGGGGCGCCCGTGGCTTCACCTGTTGAAGTTTTACCGCTTAATATAGTAGTACCCCTAACCCACTATGCAGGACGCCCGATTAACGAATACCAAGTGCTAAGATAGCCGCTATGGAAGTCTGGCCGCAAAAACCGTGTAATGACAAAAATCGCACGCTCCTTTTTTTTCTCTCGCTGAAACCTTCCCTGGAGTATTCCCATCAACTCCCCAAAAGTTTCATGGCGATCGGATCAACGGTGTCAAACCGCAATCGGCTTTTATTTTTTATATACCGTATTTACAGAATAATTGAATCGTGGCCTGCTGGGGCGCCACCCATGCGAATTTGATTTCTTTTTCGCAAATACCTCCTCATCAGTATTCTCAACAACTTCCAAAAGTTTCATGGCGATCGGATGAAAAGTGTAGTAATGCATAAAAGACAAACAGACACATATACATTGATTTTAATATATATATATATATATATATATATATATATATTGTGTGTATATATATATATATATTGTGTGTATATATATATATATATATATATATATATATATATATATATATATATATATATATATATATATATATATATATATATATATATATATATATATATATATATATATATATATATATATATATATATATATATATATATATATATATATATATATATATATATATATATATATATATATACATACATACATACATACATACATACATATATATATATATATATATATATATATATATATATATATATATATATATATACATACATATATATATATATATACATACATATATATATATATATATATATATATATATATATATATATATATATATATATATATATATATATAATGGATGATATAAAATAACTTTTAATGTGTTTATTTCTATACGTACAAAGGAACAATTTACTCGAATGTTAGATAAAAGTGTAACCATGGAAATTGATTAACGAAAGCAATATGATGTACAAGTTGCAACGGAAGTTTGATTGTAAATAACGTCAGCATAAGATAAAATCGTCCTACTCGCAGATTCATGTTCTATCCAAGTTGCTAAACCTCTGTAAGTTGTGTTATTGCTTTCCGTCTGGTCGCCCACATGTTGTCTAGCACTCCTCTGTGTATAATACCCACGGGAGAGAGTCCCATCCACTAGGACATCTCACTATTGGTGGATTAAGTCAGTCAATGGGGAACCGTACGATAGTTGACCACCAGAATGAACGACTACTCAAAGACTGGCGGTTTCACTAGAAAACACTTTAGTGGCGTTGGGTACATTCTTCCGCATGACTTGATGGCACCTAGTGTTAGTGTTAATGTCGTTGTATATTTTATAGCACAAAGCGTGTTTACCGGGGTGTTGTACAATTATCTCCATCTACTGCGTTTTAAGATCCGGATGTCCACTAAGAGGTTTTTTTAATCTCAGTGTTTTCGTTTATATTCTAGATGCTGGGCCATACTACAACAGGAACCTAATCTGTTTTTAAAGACTTTAGTAAGTGCTAAAAGTTGGAAGCAGCTTGGACACAAACCATCTGATGGAGTGATGTCAACAACTCTTATCGTACGATGACAAAATTCAATACATGTAACCGGCTGGTTGACGCATATTTACAATTCGCTTACTTTATTGGTACCGATTGCAAACATAAAGTTTATAAGATTTCTTTTGGACCATGTTAAATTGAAAGTTTTAATGTAATGGACATTGAATGCTATCAACTCTGAACGTTTGAGTACCTAGTTTTAATATCAGACGTTTAAAATGACATGTATCGCGTTTTGACATTATCATAACCTTTAAAAACCTTTAACACGCCTATAATATAATGGACGATGTATACGTAGGAACACTGTCTGTGTAATGCTGACTGACTAAAGACATCGATACATTAGTATTATGGGTGTAATAAAAATCTGTATATACCATGCATTTATAAATGTATTGATGAATTAAAGCGTGCATAAAGGTATCTCCAAAGATAAACATTTTTGAAAAACCTAAATTTAATAAACCGGGAGTGATCTTCCCTAAACTTTCTCGAATTTTCTTATATGAAACAACAGCTGATTGCAACTCGGGATATAGACATGATATTTAATCCATTTTAAATACTTAAAATTTTTAAAATAGAATAAAATCTCGTAGAAAAAAAGAATTGCACACCAAGTGAACGCCAAATAAAATGTGCATAATAGTGCGGAATATTATTTGTACATTTGTAAATTCACATGCGTTTTTTTAATATAATACTTATATATGAAATTTCATCAACCTAGCTGTAACGGTAGCCTAATCAAGTTATCGTGTTTACACTCAGACACACAAGATTACAAAACTATGTTTTTCCGACTCAGGGAGACCTAAAACGTCGAGATTTGCAAAAATCTCGATTTTTTTTTTTTTTGCACGATTACAAGACTTTCTCTATACTTCGTATATACGAGAAAGTAAAAACCCGTGGTGAGCCCAAGATAGAGAGAAACACTACTTTGTTGGTACATTAATTACAAAATCGATAGTGAGGATTTAGAACATTGTATTATCTCAATATTAGGACTTATATTCCAACAACCAGAGGCTTAGCTAGGGTAGGGCGACTGCAGCGGCCAGTACCAGCATCGACTCTTAGGTGGCGCCAACAGAGTTGAAAGAAAGAAAACATCTTTTGAGCTGCATTTTTAATTATATACAGTCTTAATAGAAGAGACTACTACGGATTTAATTGTTGGCGCAACCGTTTATTCAAAAGAAAATAAACAATTGTTAAGAATCAGTGGTAAAGAACACCCCCTTCCCAGGATGGTGGAAGGGAGAGGGCACAATGGCGTAGCTACAGGAGGACGGCAAACCCGGGCGCTTATCAGAGGGGCTCCAAATGGGGTACACATTGTTTTTATAAAGATTAATTTGATAAGCATTACCAAGTACAAGTTAATAAATTAATAAAAGTTAGGACGAGTGACCTACATTTCTGTCTCCACCTATCGCTATCGTTGTTGTAATAACAGATGCATATTGCATCAGCAACACCAAAGACCTACAGTGTCAACCTCCATAAGGGTGAGGTAAAACACAGGGCGCTGCCATTTCGGTCGTTTGGTAATAGATTTTAGAAGACTGCCGAATCCTTCGTGTCGGGCGCTCTTTAAATAAAATATAGATGCCAGAGTGCTAATAGAGAGCCCAGTGTGCTTGATTTCAATAGCCCACCGTATCCATAAGGGATGATGCTCGTTGTAACAAATGTTGGTGCTCTAGTGCTCATGTGGGCGCCGGGGCTCACCGGATCTGCCAACCGCCCAAAAACTAATAAAAGCTAGTTAAATTGAAGTCCAATATATGTATTAATAGCTTCTTGGATATACTATTTTAACCGTTCTTAGTGAAGCTTATACAATTAGCATACATGTATAGTTTCTTAAGGCGGCATTAGTTTGTGTATCTAAGAATGTAGCATGGTGGACTAAAAAAGTTTTATAATTTCTACTAGAGACATTGACCCTCTAGTATTGTTATGCTCAAAGCTTAGAACATAAGCATGTAGTACATTTCGGCCGACAACTGCGAAGTGCTGAAAAGTAAATAAAGGTTGTTGTTTTTTTATTCAAGCACTGTCGTCAATTAGCTAATTACGGGCTCTAACGAGATTCACCGAGAAAGATTTATTTCACTCATTTAAATGATTACCGTTCAAACACGTTTTAACATTCATAACGATAAGCCGAAAATAGCACATTAATTTAAGCAATAAACCTAATCAACTACAGTCAAATCAGAAAATGTAGGCAAAAGGAGAAATAACGTGTTTCATTTTTTTTTTAAATCCTCTGAGTATAATAATAATTTAGACAGGACACATTATTTCTTATAACTGGAGTGTGAGGTAGTGATTCAGCTGAACGCTCCCAATCGATGATCACACAAATTGCTGCCGTGGCCAAGTTAATTGGTACTAGATTAGATCTAATTTAGAAATCAGCTTAACTGTCATACAGCATAATTTAAACAGGCCTCAGCACGCGCGTCCATTAGTTTAAAGACATATTTACTGTTTGGACGAGTTCACAAGCCACAATCAGAGAATACATTTACAACTTTGCCCTTTTTCTACTACATTGGAAGCGGAGAATCAATAGACAATTAAATTGATTGTGGGCATGCTATTTAATTTATCAAACCAGAGCAGCAGTGTGCATTTAAGTCCGTAATATTAACACGCGTTGGTTATGGCTTATGTAAGACAAAAGTAATCCGCTTGGTCAATGCAGTCGACAGATGATTATTAATCTATGGATCAGTGGATATAGGGCAGAGGTATATCGGTTAACTAGAACAGGTAAGAACAACTTTGTCAGTGATCAATAATCCAAATAAAGGTTTGTGAGTAGTTTGGGCTAAGTTAACTAGAAATGGTAAGAACACTTCATAAGCGAGCATACGGGTTTTGTGTGTAGCTGGGGCTAGAGACAAACTTACCTCCGGCTTTTCGACGTTCTCCGTAAGTAACTTTCCCGTCAAACTCGTTGATCGGGACTTTCATGTCGGTACTAATTCTATCGATGGTCACATCCAAGTGGTCCTCAACGTCATTCAGCAGCTTGAGAAATAAAGCAGTTTTAGGTTAAACACATCTATTTAGTTCAAAATTATATTAAGCTATGTGCTTGAACAAAGTTTTGATAAACACTCCTTAACTATGTGTTGATATAGATGAACAGTGAAGCTGAACTGTAGAGCTCACGACTTCAGAAAGTCTTGAATTCGGTTCCCTACCCCAGCGTTTAGGTCTACCCAACTCTGATTGACTAAGCCAGAATTCAGTTAGGTCGTGAAGTATCTTTGTAAAAGCTTTTTTATTACAAAAACTAAAACGATCTGTCTTGCTTTAGACTGATAGAACAAGCATTAATTGTTAATGAAATCACTTAGCATAAAATAGCGACCATGCTTTTAATATTATATTTAAATAAAGCAACAAAAGTGTTTTTTCTTTTCATATTACTAGTGCTGTTAAAAAGCATGTTAATGTAAATCTTTTTATAATTGTTGTATGTACATATGCATTAAATGATTAACGTAGAGATGTTCGCTCTCAAGCTATTTGACTGAAGCGCATTAAAAAATAGAAAGCTTGCCCCACAACTTATGATTAGAGCTGGAGAATCCAAGATTTAAAAATGTCTCCTCCCACTTATACAGCTTGGGTAAAATGAGATTGTACTTGAGTACATGAAAGATGAAGGTTATGTGTGGGCCGTTGCCTCCAGCCTTCATAAAACTACATCTATTCCAGATTATTTATATCTCCAATCTATGGAAACATCCGAGAGATTCACGATCGTTGCTTGTCGCCTTTATAAACATAACTAGGCATGCTGCCCAGCTTCGCTTAGGCTTTCGAAAACATTGAGAATTTGAATGCTTAATTAATTCGCCCGAGGGTCGGTCTACGACCTCAAGAGTTATGAAGAGGTTCCTCCGTGGACATTTTTTTTCGATTTATAGCTCATATAAGGTACCGGTCAGTCGAGGTCAGTTTTGACCCCCTCATCGTAGACTTTTCGGCCAACCGGCCCCCGTGTTCTGTCGCCCCAAGGCAAGATCCTGCCAAATTTGAAGCGCCTGCGGCGCCGGGAAGTGCCCTATCGGACACCCGACAATCTAGATCTAGATCTAGATTCCTAAAAGAATTTTTTTTTTTTAAGTTTAGCCCGAGCATAATAAAAAAAAATACATTAACCAAGTTGACTTGGTGTGTCTCGAACCCGCACCACCTACGTGGTTTAATGTACACTAACATCTCCGCTATTTAGGCACCTTATAAAATACGGGGAATGAAACACGTATTTTAAAATCTTAACTTACGCGAATATGCCTATTCTTTCAAATTAATTTATTTATCCCAAATTAGCCAGTTCCAAACAAAGATTTTGTATAAAATAAATAAGTCTTGAAATAGTTTAGTCCTAATATAGAAATTTATTTTTGGAATTGATTTTAGAGAAGTTAGAGTCTAAATCTAGATCTTAGCGTCTACGTCCTACGTCTAGCTAGATCTAGTTATTGCGTAGATTTAGATTTAGTCTAGATCTAGAATCTCTAGATCTAGAATCCAAATACATAAAATAAATTTTATGAGTTTAGGCCGGAAAAATTGTATTGTATACAGTGTTTCTTCCAGACTTTTTTCTCCGGGCGGGCACTTGAAATCTTCGGGGGGGGGGGGGGGGGGGGGCGGTAAACTTTCTTCGGGGGGGGCGGACACTGTTAAAAGTATATATTTTCTATAATATATAAAATATATAAATTTCATTTCGTTCGGGGGGGGGGGCGGTAAAAAATTTTCGGGGGGGCTTCGCCCCCCCGAAGAGATGCCTGGAAGAAACTCTGATTGTATACATTTCATAGTGTACGTAGATCTAAATCAAATTTGAATTAAATAGTTCATTTCTTTTTATTCTAAACACGGCAGATGACGTCATTAGTTAATGTATAAGCAATAGTGACGTCACAGTTTTATGCGTTCTTTTTCACATATATTAATGCTTTTCCGGTTGCATAAATAATACTGTTTCTCTACATTCGAATACGCCTTTAATTTTTATTTTTCTTCTTTAAATAAAATTGTGGTTATACATTTAAAACATCTAACATATTATTTTCAACAAAAGTCCGTATAAAGTTCTCCATATATCGCTGCCGTTTCTGACGTGATGTCCGGCGAAAATATTTTGCGGACAGACAGAGAGAGAGAGAGAGAGAGAGAGAGAGAGAGAGAGAGAGAGAGAGAGAGAGAGAGAGAAGAGCGCACATGGCGTTTTATATATTAGGATAATGTAGTTTCTTTGCATGCACTAGGTAACACAAAAAACCACATGTCTACATAAATGGCAAAACAAAAACAATTAGTTTTTATCTTGATTTCAAACAATGTTTTACAAAATAATGTTCTCGCTGTTTAGCCGGCTTATATACGATTACTTAAATGTAACAATATGTCTTTTACTGTAAAGTGGATACATTACCAATAAAGAACGATTAAGCTTATAAAAATATAAATAGTTATCTTTTAGTACATAATAAGAATACGGATGTGGAAGATGTTTTGTGTTCATGCACTAACAGGAGAAAAGAAAATGATATTAAACACATATAATAATAATAATATATACAAATAACAAAAAGCTTAGGTCATTATAACTATATTCATCTTTTTTCCGTTCGTGCCCAAGATACACGAGGCAGATGAAATAGAGTTCAACTGTTTCAATCATCTCGGCATATGAATGGATCGTATGTTCAGCACTATGGTTAGTCGCCTACGTTTCCCTAACGTGAGTCCCAACCGAGATCACAACTCAAGACCTTCGGACTAGTGGTCAAACGCTCTACCGTTCAACCACACAGTCTCCGGGTCACTATACTGTGCAATGAAAAAGCGTGCGAATTACTAAGCGTCTTAATCAGCCATCAAATGATTCAATATGCGATAGGAACAGAGTAATAGTCTACTCAAAAGACGACGGAGAAATAAATTTAAATAAAAATATGGAAAATAAATAATTTACAAGACGGGAGATTTTTAGTAGAATACTTTAATAAAAGTTGATAGTAGCATAGACATGATGGAAACAATGGGCTAGAGTTTGGTAAGTTGGGTTCAAATATCTATATATATAAAGCAAAGTGGTCAAGTGCCCGTTAGGGCACTTCCCGGCGCCGCAGGCGCGTCAAATTTGGTACGATGGTGCCTTGGGGCGATAGAACACGAGGGACGGTGACGGTTGGCCGAAAAGTCTACGGGGAAGGGGTCAAAACTGACCTCGACTGACCGGCGCCTTATATGGGCTATATTACGAAAAAAATTTCCTCCGACGACCCTCCTTGAAATTTTGTGAGGTGGTAGGAGAACGCCTTGGGGTGTCACAAAAAACTCGCCATGTCCGGGAAAATTCGTTAAATGGGTCAAAACTGACCAGTCGTATTTCCCTATATAATCTTTGTATTGTATGGGAAAAACAGAGGGTGGTTTCAAAACGGATTTGAGGGCACTTACCGTCTTAACATCTGGCTAATCTTTTGCATGCTCTTAGGTAATTGGCTTGACTTTTAGGGAAAACTGTCGGTTTCACTCAAAGCCCTCGACGAGGGCTAAAAAGTGACCGCGAGTGAAATTCTCATTATACGAGATTTGGTCATCTATATACTACTAAAAGTCAAGTTTGTTTACATGTTTGAATATTTATTTGTTTTTTTGTTTGTTTGTTTGTTTGTTTGCCTGATTGACTATTGCTCATGGTTGCACTCATCGTGGAAAGCTGTAAAATAGTATGTAGGTAGAGAAATTTTTTTGTTTTAAGACAGACTGTTAATCACAAATTTATTTAAAGACGTTAATTAATTTATTGATTTATTCATTGTTAAATTAACCGTATTTTTTTAAAAATGTTAATACTTTGAATAAACTTTGTGGGGATAGTGACGTCCCTTGATGTGTTTACTTTTTTGGTGCAATAAAAATGGCGGACTCCATCATAGACTTTGTGGCCCATTCAAAAGTTTAACGCGTTACAAAGCTAATTTTCAGCCGGCTATAACTTAAACAATACGTCCGTTTGCTGTATTTATTACGTTCCAACACTTATATCTAGCCTAGATCTAGATCTATCTAGATCTAGCCTAGATGTGAAAGTTACTAGATTCTACTACTAGACTTAGATCTAGATCTATGCGCGGAGACTCAAAAGTATAGTATAAAAATTCATTTGTGACGTCACGAGTAAATAGCTAAGTTTGTAGCGTAGTCCGCTCTCATGCGGGTGGTACAGGTTCTAGACCAATATGTCAATGATTTTTTTTTTCAATTTTTTTTTTTTTTAGATGTGAATGATAAAGTTGCCTATCTGAACTTGGCAAGATACAGGGCAGGTGAAGTAGAGTTCATCTGTTTCTTTGTCCTAAGCATATGAAAGGATAGTGTGGTCAGAGACATGCTCGGCTGGAATCGTTTTTTAAACGATAAATACATGTTGTCTGAGACTTGGCGGGACACTGGGCAGGTGAAGTAGAGTTGAGTAGGTCACATGTGACGTCAGTATATGAAGGGATAGTCCGAAATCGGTGTTATTCGGTGTTTTTAAAAGATAAAAAACATATTTTTGAATGTGGGGTCTGTTTTTTGTGACGATAAGTGACACTGCAGTAGCGTAGCGAGGAGGGGGGGGGGACGGTAGGGGAGGGGAGGCGGTGGGGGGGGGGGGGGAAGGGGAGGCGGGGGGAGGTGGATGGGGGAAGGGGGGGGGCGGGTCGGGACATATGTTGGGGCGCCAAAATGGTTTGGAAAAATAAATTGAAAGGTTGAGGGGGGTTCAAATCGAAAGTTTGAGTGGGGGGGGGGGGGGGTGCACATCAAAAGTTTGAGGGGGGGGGGGGGGTTCAAATCGAAATCTTGCGGGGGGGGGGGGGGGGGGTTCAAATCGAAAACTTTGTCCCCGGGCGCCGGGAAGGGTCGCTCTGCCTCTGAGTGACAGACGTGATGTTTTTTGATTGATGACCCCCGAAACCCACAGTTATCCAACGGATGACGGGTATTCTAGTTTGGTCTATGAACAGGGGAAGTAACTTTTTAATGTAATAATTTTTTTTAAAATTTGTATTATCTTTTCAAGAAAAAACAAAAATCATAGAGTATAGCATTGTTTTAAATAAATATTTTGTTATAAATTAAGTCTTGCATTGTACTGAAATTGTAAAAATTAATTGAGAAAGTAATTTATTATAATATTTGATTGATACTATTGAGAAACCCCTTGCAGTTCTAATAACCGTGCGAGTAATAAGTTTGCGAATATTCTCAATACTTGATTAGCATGAAATTACTCCACTGTATAAATTTAGGCCCTAAGCATTTAAGATAGCAGCCAATCACCTATTAATTAATTATTCAATTCCTTATTTTTTTTGAAAACCTAAGCGAAGCTAGGCAGTATGCCTAGTATAATATAATATGGATAAAATACGTGTTTTTTAATATATATATATTTTTAGATTTTGCCATCTTTCACTTATATATGAAATTTTGTCTACCTAACTGTATTCAAGTTATCATGTTCCCACGGTTTTAGAGTAGATACCACTTCCGATTATCGGAAATCGTTCAAAAATTGATAAAAACCTGTGCATACAATCTGATACTTGTTTTTAAAATTTCGTCCACCTATATTTAAAGGTGCTTAAGTTATTCGCTTTTAATTGGTGCATACTCCCCTTCCGGTTACAGGAAATCGGCCAAAAGTTGAAAGAAAACTAAACATTTGAAATAATATTTATATATAAAATTTCGTCATCCCAAAACAAAAGGTACTCTTGTTATCGTGTCGGCATCGGAAAAAGTATCTCTTCTTGGCGATAATGTTTTGTTCTACCTTCTAGTTGGTGATATACTTTAAGCGTCCCGAGTAAAGCGAAATGTGAGCTGTTAGAACGACCAGGTTGTCCTCGACAAGGTCCACAAGATGTCCTCGACAAGGTCCACAAGATGTCCTCGACAAGGTTCACAAGATGACCTCGACAAGGTTCACAAGATGTCCTCGACAAGGTCCACAAGATGTCCTCGACAAGGTTCACAAGATGTCCTCGACAAGGTCCACAAGATGTCCTCGACAAGGTCCACAAGATGTCCTCGACAAGGTCCACAAGATGTCCTCGACAAGGTCCACAAGATGTCCTCGACAAGGTCCACAAGATGACCTCGACAAGGTCCACAAGATGACCTCGACAAGGTCCACAAGATGTCCTCGACAAGGTCCACAAGATGTCCTCGACAAGGTCCACAAGATGACCTCGAAAAGGTCCACAAGATGACATCGACAAGGTCCACAAGATGTCCTCGACAAGGTCCACAAGATGTCCTCGACAAGGTCCACAAGATGACCTCGAAAAGGTCCACAAGATGACCTCGACAAGGTTCACAATATGACCTCGACAAGGTTCACAAGATGTCCTCGACAAGGTTCACAATATGACCTCGACAAGGTCCACAAGGTCCACAAGATGACCTCGACAAGGTCCATAATGTAAATCATCGTATCACTGAAAACTTCATCTTTTGATACGGTCTTGTACATAAAATAATGCTAAACGACGTGGCTTTATGAGGACGAGCACCAGAGGCGTATCCAGGTTTTCGTTTTAGGGGGAGCGAAAAGAGTTAAAAAGGCGCCGAATTTTTAACACGTTCTATATACGGGTATTATATATATATATATATATATATATATATATATATATATATATATATAATTACTAGCTGTATGTCATTACTGCGCTATGATGTAAAGTAAATTGAAAGTAGCACTCTGAAGAAATAAGAAAAAACACACAATGTAGGCCGACAAAACAAAAAATTGTATCAATCTAAACAAAAAAAAATATACACAGACTACAACCAAAATCAATGAACGTAACACAATCTATTTTGTAATTCTTGTAAAAAAAAATTTCTTACATAATAATTCCTGGGAAATTATTTAAGACAAGTGAAATAGGGGAAATAATCACTCGCTTAATATAAATATGTATATATCTACACATTTAATTATAAATGTCAAAACAAATAAATAATTACTTTAGAATATAATGAAATTGTTTAACACTATTTGTGTTTACAAAATGTTTTTGTCTATAATCATAATTTAATATATCGTCATCATAAATGCTAAAGTATTACAGCATAATGAAAGTTCTTAAAATCAGAGTTGGTATAAAACCACGCTTTTCAATATAATAGGAAAACATTCGGAATAACAGCCTACATTTAACTAAAAATCGTTCTTTTTTGTTCAGATCATATATATTTAATTAACTAGTGCTTCTTTGTGTTCTTTAAAGATCCTTTTTTAACATAGTGATAGGTATGGGTTAGATCACTGTATTGATCACACACCTTTTTACTGGTAATTGCAAAAACAATATTCACAGAGTTTTACGTTTAAAAAGCTAATTTTCTGGCGACATGGTACTTTGGTACATCATTACACGTTTTTCTACATGTACTTAACAGATCAGTTCGGGGTGGTTTGGGGGGAGGGGATGGGTTCAACTTCATTCACCACTGTCCGGTCACTTTAGGTCAATTATCCAACCCAGTGTATACCATGGTGTGACATTAATGTCGCTCTACACAATTGTGGTGGTGAGGTGTGTGGCGGGGGGGGGGGGGGGAGGGATAGCTAACTCAGAGTGAAAATAGCGTCAGTTCTTAGATGACTGTTCTAAACATACATATATCTTACACACATATATATATTACAGAAATAGATTTAAATAAGTAGCAGTGGTATTATGACAATATGGCAAACTGATGCAGCTGTTAATATGTGTTGTAAACGTAGACACTACTAGACTATTGCAATAATGCTTAATTGCTGCATGAAAAGAAATCTTGTGATTTACATAGATGTGCCGACCAAAAATATTTTTTAACAAATATCATTGTTTAAAACTTTGAGTTTAAAAAGTTTCCAAAAAGGCGCCACTTTGCTGAAAATGGCCAGAGGGGGAGCGGCCGCTCCCCCTGCTCCCCCCCTGCGTACGCTACTGACGAGCACACCGACATAGTAAAAAGGGTTGATGTTTTTATCATGAAGGAAATAGCACCAGGACTAAGTGACAAAGAGTGAGAACATAATGGACCAGTACAGAAATAACGGGAATCTAACACCTTTTTAATGGACGTTGACGGGTATTTTGAAATACATCATTGAAATGACTTTAAATGGAGAGAAACGATTAAAGCTGGGACACAGGAGAGTGATGCTGACAAAAGGGAATGTCTACAGAAACCACTGATGACGTTCGCTTAGTTTGTTATCCGTATCAGCAGTCAACGCATTTGCTAAACATTAGGACTAATGCGATTTGAATACAACCAATGCACACAGCCAACTACCTGATGGTGACCGGAACGATGCGCAACGGAAAACAGCGAATAAAAAGTGCGCAAGGGCAATTTTTGTTTTCTTAAATCAATCATTTATAGACATTAAAAAAGAGTGGCTACAAATACATTGCAGCATGATAAAACATATTTCAACGAAATATGACATTAAGGTGTATTAGTATAATTAGTTTGTATATGGGCATTTTTCTATATGCGCATTTTTCCGTTGCGCAGTTTTTCGTTTGAGTATTTTTCTGGGAAAACTACCTGATTACAACCGTAGTCACGACAATCCAAGTAATATGACTTTAGGCCGTCACGACAAAACGAGTTACATAATGTAGAGTTGTAGACTATACATTGGTGTTTATTTGATAGATATGTGACACCTTTATTTACGAAAGTGATGTTTAAACATCAGTAAATTTGGAAAGTTAATTATTAAAAACGATAATGTAATTATCTTGTATCTAAATTAAGTGTGGGAAACTGGATATGTCCTACTTTAGAATCGCAGCAAAAATTCTTGTTTTAACACTATCATGTTTAAACAACCAACAACAAACAAAAAAACTAGTTTAAGAGTACATTCGCTGATGCTATTTTTAGAGGTCTTAAAGTGTAAAAGTAAGACGATAATGTGTATACCAAAATATATTTGCCATTTCCATTCGGTTTTATCCTGTTTCATGACATATTTATATCCAAGTGATGTATGCAATACACGTTCTCTTTCATCGTGTGATTTGCAGCTCTTAAAATAGCAGAAAACGTCTTCAAATTCAAAAACTTGAATTCTAAGCGCTAAATGTGTGGTGTATTCTGGACCTTTTTTCTTTAGTAAAAAAAAATACCTAAAACAATCTACAATTGTATACTACGGTTTTAAAGAAATGTACGGATCAGGGTCAGTCCATACTTCGCTCGTCTCGGCTTAACAAATTCTGACTTGAATGTGACACAGCGGCTTTATTAAGAGCAAATTTGGAGTTGTTAGATAACACTGATGACCTTATCAGACAAGGATGAAATCAAGCGATGGAGTAACGCGCCAAGAGGACAGCTGGGCGAGCATGAATTGGATGTTGACAGAGTACTTGTGAAGTCGGGAGCTAATCTCAGTACAAACGACATTAAAGCGGCATTTACTGGGCTCTCTCGATACGTATATCATACAGCAGCACAAACTTACTTGTAACACTTCTAGTGGATTGGCATGATTCATTTGACATGTAAACACAGTAAGACAAAAAATAACCGGCATAGTGAGTAACACTGTGGTTGAATGACAGTTCAACCACAGTGTTACATACTTCTAAACATGTGTTTAGAATCAAGGTTTAACATACTGACCTGAGGTTCATTGTACCAAATACAGCAGCCTCCTTGGTCTGTTAAGTTTGTGTTGTAGCATCCCCGCCCCTTGCTTGTACAATTTGAATGATACCACACCTTGAAAAGAAGAAAGCGTACATTTGACAGTCATCACGGCTACAATTAAGAAGATGTCACGAAATAAAAAGATGACAAACGAGTCCAACACGACAAGTATCATTTCAGAATAAATGAACAACTCGAGACGTCATGTTATACAGCTCTTGGAAGTTCGCTCTATAGCAAACAAAATAGTAGTTGGACCTGTGAACATTTTAAATCAGGGACGATGTCTGTCTTATCTGGGATTTTTCTAACACAGCTGCTGTCAAGCTTTACACGCTTCCACCAAGCAGCTTTAAATACTTTAATTTTTTTTAACTGTTAAATATTTTAGGAGAAATAATTGTCGCACTTTTGTTATCGCAGGTCAAATGATCAAAAAGATCCAAAGAAGATTTTAAAATCCATTTACACAATACAACCTTTAAAAATTAAGGATGCTAAATTGTACTTTAATACCAGCGGTGACATGAAAGCATTTTTTGTTAATGAGTATAATTAATTATGTGTTGGGATCTTAATTTAGCCATTTACTAAAGTGTCAGAAATGTAAAACTTAGAATTTAAATATACACTAGCCGTCCCGGCCAGGCCCTGCTCTGGCTTCTGTGAAAAACCTTTCTGTTAAAGACCATTACCTGTGTGTTTAGTAATCATCATAAACCCGGCATTGCCCACCCAAACCACAACCAACCAAAACAACAAAACGCAAACATAACGCTAACACAATTACAAATACAAACGAAAACAAAAACCTAACAACAAACCCAACCACAACCACATACACCAATACAAACACAAAGAAAAAACAAACAAAAAAGCAAACGAAAACAAAAACCTAACAACAAACCCAACCACAAACACCAATACCAAAAAAAAAAAAAAAAACAACGAAAACAAACCAAATCCAAACGCAAAACCAGCCAAAAACACAAATACAAACCCAAACAAAAAAACACAAACAAAAACGAAAAAAGAAAGAACAAAAACGAACCAAATCAAAACGCAACCACTAACGCAAACCCACCTAAACACAAAGAAAACACTAACGCGAACATAAACGCCCGGGGCGGAATCACCTGTTTTAGCTTAATGAACGACTATAGTACCCCAACTTATTCATAGTCTTTTGCACTCACTTAAACGAACGCGCCTGTTTCAATTTGATGAACAATTTTAATACTTCAAGCTTATCCGTAAAATACCTACAACATTTGCACTTGATCAATCCCCGCTAATTATGTAATTATTTTTTTTTCCCAACACCAAAACAAAGTAATTAAAAAGTAAATTATTTTCGACTAATGCAATGGTTTTATAAAGGGAAGTAATTTTGTTTTCCTAATTTATCAAAGGGAAGTAAGTGCTATAGGACTAAATAAAGACATAATTAGAATTTTTGTAAAAGATGATATTTTTTTAAAACTTGTGTTTAATGAACATGCCGACAATTATTACTATAATTTGAAAAATGAAAACTATTTCCCAACACTTTCAATAGTAATTTTTTAGCTCATAAATTTAGACAAATGCGCACGATAATTTTCTAACACTTAAATTCATACAATTCCAACGACAAACATATGCATTACATACAGAACTGAGCTTTATATATTAGATTATATCATTCTGTAGTAAAACTGCAATCAACGTGTAATGGTGCCGCTCCATCGTCATCTGAATATAACCAACGAGTAATAAAAGGAATAAAGTAACAAATAGATCCCTTGGTAGAAGGAAATAGCAAAGACTGACTTGAATAACACATTTCGTATATTTCCATACTCTTATAATATAACAGGACAAAGCTTTCTGAGATATCTGAAAATATTCAGAAAATTTCTACATTATTGGAAAACGAAAGCATTGTGTTGTGACATCTCCTTGCTATTCAGCTTATATAGTGTAAATTAGGCGTGTTCCCGTGATACTGATTTCTATTGAGGAACCGGAATCGTAAGCGCGTAGTATTTAATATATTTAATGAGTTGAAATTCAGACTTAGTTTCTTTCATAGTCGTGTAAATAAAGTGTAATGTGTCGTAAAATATTAATCGGGTGTCGTAATATTATCACTCTGTTTATTGTTAGATGTGACTAACGGACGTAGCGTTTCCACACATCTTAAGCAGTGATAGTAATCTATTGTGACTATTGTAAAGCTTTATTTGTTTATACAACTACAAATTCTGACACTAAAACTACCGGATACACTAAAACTATTGCAACCTTATAGGCCTCTCTTTATATATATATATATATATATATATATATATATATATATATGCACTTGCAAACTTGAAAACATCTGGTAGCACCATGCACCGCCTGCAGCGTACAATTGAGTCAGATTTCTGGTGCAATCTAAAGATGTCGTGATTAGCACTCATCAGTGGACAGAGAGAGACAATTCCAATTCCACTGCAGGCTTAATGACATTCGGGTGATAAAACGTTGTGTCACACGCATTATGTTTTCTTCTCATTTAGATTAAAGCTTCGTCGGTATTTTATTTCCAATGACTTTGCTCGGGTAATAATCCTCAGAAAAAGAAAGTGAGCTTTTTTGCTTTAAAAAGACGGAAAGTGCACCCTAATAACCACACATTGTACACAAATAAAGTAGTCTGTAAAGACAAGTGGAATGATTAAAACATAATAGCTCTTTTAGTGTGGAAAATATATTCAAATCTGTATATCTTCTCTCTCTCTCTCTCTCTCTCTCTCTCTCTCTCTCTCTCTCTCTCTGTCGCACGCACGCTCATACTGGAACGTACACACGCGTATGCACAAATATATAAATACATTTCGCTTCCCTAGAAACAGACTATTTTAAGTTTATTTTTCGTTTTTCAAAGAGATTCTTCATTTGATATGTTATAAATCCATTACACTATCATATATATATATATATATATATATATATATATATATATATATATATATATATATATATATATATATATATTATGCAGCAAAGGACCAAACAGATTGCCTTAATCTGAGTGTAAATATACTAGTCGGCCTCCATTAGTGCTGCTACCTTAGAGTTTAAAAGACGAAAGAGTTAAGAAGTTCACAGACAACAATCATGAAAGTAGCATGCCTTAGCTTCGTCAGGTCAATCACTCGCGGAATGATCAAGCTCATTTACATGCGGGACCACGGCAAAGTCGCAGCGATGAATACAGACCGTGATTCTCCTCATTCCACATTTCCCTTTCACATTTGGCAATGGTTGGCATTTTTTTCGGGATCTCTCTATAAGTAGTCCAAGCAGCTAGTGTTGAATGTTCACACAAAATGGTTCTTGCATTGTGGCTATGCGTTCTTATATCTCAAACTATTAAAAAGATATTTACCACAATATACGACACCCAAAAAAAAGCGCTATTTAAGTTTATATCTGTAAAAGAGTTTATATCAACTGAGGTGACTTGTGTACTCAACACATAGAACTGAAATAACGACATCATTTAAATGTTTGGCATCGTATATGGATTTGCTAACAGGTATTATTTTGTGGACAAATATTTTTAAAGCAAAGTAAAAACAAACATCAGGTTTGTGAACGTTATGAACATAAAAAGCATACCGATACAAAAGCATATATGATATTTACATCTAACTGTAGTGAAGAACCATGTCTATGGAGTTAGGTTACCTTAAGGCTTAAACATAACTATAATCAGAAGCGTGTATGGCTGATATATCCCACCAGTTATGGTAAATCATTTTTTTAAATGGCATGTGAATGTTATTACTTCTAACCACATATATGTGACACCATACATGCGAAAGGATAAAGCTGTGTATTTAACGTTGCTATAGAAGCTACAGACAACAAAATGTAACGTGATTTAGATATTGGTTTAGTTATACGACTTCAAAAACTACATTATAAATATAATTGAATTAATGTTTTCCACTTAGATATTTATAAAAAATCATATTATTCAATAGTTGCCTTTGCGTGATGTAATATAATGTTAAGCAAATCAAATAAAGTGTAGGCTAGTAGTAAACAAGCACCCATTAATACATCCGTATTAAACGAATGACTAAGCTTTCCCTTGTTGAACAAAAATGTCAAAATATCTCTCGATCCTCTTTTCCATTTCAACTAAATGAAAAAACTGGGCAAACAATGATACCATTCTTCGTGTAAGCCGTTGTCTTATAAATACCTCCGTCCTATCAGAATTGATATCCAGCGCCTAGTGAGGATTAAACCTAAACTGAGCTACATCAAGTCCACTCCCCATTCAAGTACACTGAATTGATCCATCCAATCTAATGTGCTTACCTTTTCTTTGCAGCTTGCTACCAGGCTAATAGCCAAGCCCATACTGAAAATGAATGGCAAAGTAAAGTTAAGTAGTACATCATATTAAAATATTTGAGAGGATTGCATTTGGTTTAGACCAGACAAAAACAATAGATAACCAACACAGAACAACACATAAAATAAAAGAAACTCACAGTGGCGTCATTTCCCTCTTAGTATATACTTTTATTCTTTATTACACACACACACATGTATATATATATATATATATATATATATATATATATATATATATATATATATATATATATATATATATATATATATATATATGTTTAGGATATATATGTAATATACGTACATGCAAACAAATAGATAAAGACAAGTATTTTAAGTAAAAGTATAATATGTTATCTTATATAGTCAGATGAAATAGTAAATGAATTGTTGTGAGGCTAGAAGACACATACTTCTAAATGTATTATATTTTACAAGGTTTTGTAAAGATGAGTGTTGTAAAGATATTTACATGTTAGTGAGTAGAATTCTAAAATGGAGAGTACTGAAACAATTCTAAGTACACAAAGCGACGATACAGAGATCACACTAAGTAACTCCGATATAGCGCCATTATCTGCTCAAATAGCTTTACTGTTGGGCTAGTTTGAAGCTTAAAACGCCTGACTGTTTGGCCTAATGAAATGATCGATGTCATTTGTCGCCCTGCAAGCAGCAGCCAAACGACGATTTCTATGACCAAAGTACGGCGCCTGCAACAGCCTGTTGTGTTCCAGAAACAAATAGCTAGCTGTTCAAATAACCAAGGCATTGTTGGGTTAAATAATTGCCTTGTTTATTTGGCACTTAAGAAGACATGCCTAGGTTTAACAAGATAATATATGGGAATAAAAGTGTATACACTGTTTAAGTTTTTAAAATGTGGTTCTGTTATTTAATTTACAGATAACTAGCACATCTTTTATGTTGTGAGTAAACCTCCCACCATGGATTCTACTATGCCTTCCAAAATATTAATATTCAAGTAAAAACCCAAACATACGATGGACATCTAGAGTATCGCGCTATTCAATAGAGAACGACCATTTATCGGCGTTTGGAAAAAATAAATAATAATATACTGCTATAACTCAAGAGGGAAGCATTAGCTAATCTAATCGCACGTCGCAGAGTGTCGTAAACTAGCTTGATCAAACAGGTTCGATAACTGCGAACATGAAGCAATAAACAATGTTGGCAAAGTTTGTTTAAACTACATAACAGGGGCATGTGTCAACTCATTCAGTGGTTATTACACACCTCAAGGTTAACTGGTAAAGCACTAGGTTTACACAGCTTTCAAAGAACAAGGACCAAAAAAAGAGTGTTAAAACATAACCAATAAAATATATGAAGTGAGATAAGATTTTATTTTTAAATGTGTTTTAAAGTACCATGAAGTAACATTTAAAAAAAAAACAGCCGCAATATAAAGAAAAAAAAAACATGTACCTTATCTTAAGTTGAAAACTAACAGTTACCGAAGAATTAAGACGTTACATTAGACATTTTTAAAAAATCTGTTATTTTTTTTTTAAATTAATAAACTAAAAGTATAAAACATAAAAACATATGGTGACTTAAGTATTCGTAGTATTGGTATCTCAGTTAGTGAAAAAATGTCAATACTGCAATGAGTATAAAGCGGAAACATGAATAACCTCATCTTTAGTGAAAGTGGCTATATCGATCAGTAGCTTAGCACTACAACTCATGTCATAAAAAAACATGTAAATATAGCGTTTTAAAACGACGTAAGATAGAATAATATCCACGACCAACTCCCTGACAAACAGTACTCACATATTTGAAAGACACATTTTTTAAAAACCTCATTGAAAAGAAAGTTAATATTGATAGTTCAGTTGGCGGTCGCCGTAAATAAAATAGCCGTACATTTGACTGTGTACTTCTTTAACAGCTGATAAAGGACGAAGACTAAATAAAAAATAATTGGGTGATAAAAAGAGAAACAGGTGTTCAAACCAAGAATTGTAACCAGCTACTGTGGAGGACTACACAGAGTAAAATAACTGCAGCACAGGCCTACATGTATTTTTAAAAGCAATCTAGTGATGGTTCAAAAGTCAGGTCTAAATCTTCAACACTGCTTCTCATCAACAGACTTTCATATAGCTGATATAATACGAAGCGATTTTGTAGATTAAAGTGTAAAAGTATCTTCCTAAAATAAAACTAATCAGCTTGTAAATAAGTGAACTTCACAAACGTCTGAACAAACAGATTCTTGAGAACAAAACTTTAAACTAAATATACCTAGCATCAACAGAAGTTTTTCTCTGGGAACAGATTTATTTAGAAACTAAAACAGCAGTCAAAAACATGTTTTGAAACGACAATAAGTAGAGATTCCCAGTCAAGACAAGCTATACAATTTTTATCGTGCGTGCCAGTCACAGTGGTGTTATTTTGTTCAATCCTCTGATTAAGGTGCGGAAGTCGCCTTTGATTTTCGCTAGGCAAAATAAGTTGTAGAAGCAAACAACTGGACTGTCACAGACACTCAGGGAAAGTTAATGGAAAAAGTAAGGGTAGTGCGACCAGTGGGAATGATTCATTAGGAGAATCAATCCTTGCTCGAATTCAACTTATCAACGAAATTCAAGAGCTCATTAGAGTATGGCTACAGGTAACTATTTTCCATTAGTCTGAGACCATCTCAACTCTGAACGAATGAAGACATATTTTCTTTAAGTTTAACAATTAGTAACTATGGCAATATAAAAGGTAATACCCAAATAATAGGTGTTGTTATAAAATAACCCGTACTACCGATTACCAAGGATACTATCGCTTTATTAAAAAAAATAACAAGGGTTTCTTTCAGACATGATTCTTTGCAGTGGGTGGGTGTGGGAGAAGGGGGTTTTGGGGGGCATTTGGACCTTCCTTCCGAGAGGGGGATGTCGCATTAAAATCTTTCGGTGGAGGGAGTGCTGACAGACACTGTTTATGAAAGTATAAAGTATATACTTTCTGTAGAAATTACTATTTTCTAATTCGTCGGGGGGGGGGGGGGGGGGGAGAAATACCTGAAAGAAACTATGTTACTTTAAGTACATCTAGCACTAGTATTATAAGGCACACGATAATGCTACAAGCATATCTTCGGCTTTAGTCAGTACGCACTTTTCACAGATGTAATGCATCCTGCACTTATAGTTGCTAATGCATTTGATCGAGTAAATATTGCACTTTAGTTCTTTAAAAATACTGTCACAGAAAACTAAAGCCCCCGCCCCCTGGAGATTGTTACTTTAGAACACCCGGACATTCAGTGGTCGCCTACAGACCTTTCCGGCACAGGCAATAGTACCGATGACAGCGTGTCTATACATTTCAGTTCACCAGAAAATGTATTGAAAAAACAACTTGATCTTTCTATGATTTGTTATCAGTATGTCGCTATGGTTTCGACTGTTCAGAAGTTTACCTCATACCAGTAATGCTGTATTATAATTGATTTAAATGTTTTAAAACAGTATCATAATACTTTGTTTTCTTCAAAAAATTTCTACCGCAAAAAAGTAAGTTTTTTTCTTCTATTTCCGAAAAAAAAGAAACAGAATCCGCCCATTTAAATCTTTCACGCAGGGGTTGCTTCCATTTATTATTTATTACCGTACACTACCAGGGTTGTGGCTGGAATGTACTATTTTCCTTCATTTGTCTAATAGAGAATGAAAAATAGTTGATAGTTTCACATCACTATAAATCAGTGATGATGCACTCGATTTCGTACGCAATAGAATAAACCTAACAAATTTCTAACCCAAACCCAATTCTGCTTAAGGTTCGAATAAAATACCTGAACGAGTGCCGTTTTCCTGAATGGACGTTTTCCCAAATGCTTCAAATAGCCAAATAGACGTTTGCACAAACGTGACGAATGCCCAAACTTATTCTAGCACTAACCTAGCTTAATTAAAGAGTCCAAGCTTTAAATCTAACCCCAGATTTTTAAAAGTTTGAATATTTTTAAAAATATAAAAATGCTTATCTTACACCTAATTTTTATTTTTTACGAGTAAACATTCAATTTTTTTAACACAGGAAGACCTCATATAAAAAAAAATTCGCGCATCGATCCCCATTCATGTAAAACTGCGTAAAAGGCGAAGTGTGATCGGAATAATATGCTCAAACAAAATATGCGTCTTATATGGCTTCTACAAAAAAAACATTTGCGCTGAGTTTCTATAAATAGAAATTAGATCTGAATAAGCTTGTAGAGCTCTTCTCTTAATATTCTTTACTAGAAAAATGGCCCGTTGAGGAAGGATACACCGGGCGCTAGGTTGATAGTGCTGTCTCTTTTCTCTAAACAAAAACCACCCCCCCACACACACCACCCCCCACCCCCCACCCCCACCCACACCACCCCACACACACACCACCCCCCACCCCCACCCCTACACACACCACCCCACACACACACCACCCCCCCACCCCCCACCCCCCCCCCCCCCCCCAAAAAAAAAAACATGTCTACCGTCCCATTCAACGAAATATAATTATATACTTTTTCCAGTGTCCGCCCCCTCCCCGAAAATTCTACACCCGCCCCCGAAAATTTCAAGTACCCCCACCCCTCTCCGGGGAGGAAAAAGTCTAAATTAAAACCACCCCCCACTCACCCCCCCACCCCCCACCCCCCCCCCCACCCCCCACCCACCCCCCACCCCCCCAAAAAAAAAGCATGTCTACCGTCCCATTCAACAAAATATAATTATATACTTTTTCCAGTGTCCGCCCCCTCCCCGAAAATTCTAACCCCCGCCCCCGAAAATTTCAAGTACCCCCACCCCTCTCCGGGGAGGAAAAAGTCTAAATTAAAACCACCCCCCCCCACTCACCCCCCATCCCCCCCCCACACACCACCCCCTCCCCCCACCCACAACCCCCCCCCCCCCCCTAAAAAAACATGTCTACCGTCCCATTCAACGAAATATAATTATATACTTTTTCCAGTGTCCGCCCCCTCCCCGAAAATTCTACCCCCGCCCCCGAAAATTTCAAGTACCCCCCACCCCTCTCCGGGGAGGAAAAAGTCTAAATTAAAACCACCCCCCACTCAACCCCCCCCCCCCCACCCCCACCCCCCTCAGACGTTCTTACGCGGGGGGTGGGGCTTCGCCCCTACCCGAAGAATTGTATGCAAGAAACTCTTCACGCAAACCATTTAGATTAGACATTTCCTGTTTATTCAATGTTTACGCGATAATCAATGACGTCATTACTGTGTGCACTTTCCGCCTTGAGATTATTTTCAACTTTAATATGCTAAATGTGTCGACGTCATATTTCGTTTTTCGAATTACTGTGCAGGTTTTTAAATTCCTTGTGTTTTCTCTAGAGCGTTCTTGTCAGACAGATAGATAGATAGATAGAGAGACAGCGAAACTATTATTATAGACTAGAAAAATGGCCCGTTGAGGAAGGATACACCGGGCGCTAGGTTGATAGTGCTGTCTCTTTTCTCTAAACAAAAACCACCCCCCCCACACACACCACCCCCACCCCCACCCACACCCCCACCCCCCCCCCACACCACCCCAACCCCCCCCCCACCCACACCACCCCCCCCACCCCCACCCCTACACACACCACCCCACACACACACCACCCCCCACCCCCCACCCCCCCCCCCAAAAAAAAAACATGTCTACCGTCCCATTCAACGAAATATAATTATATACTTTTTCCAGTGTCCGCCCCCTCCCCGAAAATTCTACACCCGCCCCCGAAAATTTCAAGTACCCCCACCCCTCTCCGGGGAGGAAAAAGTCTAAATTAAAACCACCCCCCCCACTCACCCCCCACCCCCCCCCCCCACACACACACCACCCCCCCACCCCCCACCCACCCCCCCCCACACACACACACCACCCCCCCCCCCCACCCCCCACCCACCCCCCACCCACCCCCCCCCCCCCCCAAAAAAAAAGCATGTCTACCGTCCCATTCAACAAAATATAATTATATACTTTTTCCAGTGTCCGCCCCCTCCCCGAAAATTCTACCCCCGCCCCCGAAAATTTCAAGTACCCCCACCCCTCTCCGGGGAGGAAAAAGTCTAAATTAAAACCACCACCCCCACTCACCCCCCATCCCCCCCACACACACACACCACCCCCCCCTCCCCCCACCCCCCCCCCCCCCCCCACAACCCCCCCCCCCCTAAAAAAAACATGTCTACCGTCCCATTCAACGAAATATAATTATATACTTTTTCCAGTGTTCGCCCCCTCCCCGAAAATTCTACCCCCGCCCCCGAAAATTTCAAGTACCCCCCACCCCTCTCCGGGGAGGAAAAAGTCTAAATTAAAACCACCCCCCCCCCCCCACTCAACCCCCCCCCCCACCCCCCTCAGACGTTCTTACGCGGGGGGTGGGGCTTCGCCCCTACCCGAAGAATTGTATGCAAGAAACTCTTCACGCAAACCATTTAGATTAGACAACATTTCCTGTTTATTCAATGTTTACGCGATAATCAATGACGTCATTATATTACTTTCCGCCTTGAGATTATTTTCAACTTTAATAATTAATATGCTAAATGTGTCGACGTCATATTTCGTTTTTTCGAATTACTGTGCATGTTTTTATTTTGCTTGTGTTTTCTCTAGAGCGTTCTTGTCAGACAGAGCGTTCTTGACAGACAGCGAAACTATTATTATAGATATGAAATTGTTGGCTTGTAGAGAAGTTCAGACACTAGAGCCACTAAGTTGAGGGAAATCAGTAATACTGGCTAAAACATTCATTAGGCATGTGTATTCCCACTTTCTGGTTACAAAAAGAAGTAGTTCCCCTTCAAGACATAACGATAGAAGAAATTCAAGTGGAACAAAATAGTAGGTAAAGAAGGTGAACAGGCCATACATTGAGATCCAGAAACGTGTCAGACGAGGCAAATCACAAAACCAACAAGGATAAAAAGGGAGACACCCTGTCGCAGAGAAATTTCAAAAGACAAGCCTGGTGTAGGAAAGCAATGGAAAGAAATGGAAACAACAGCGAAGGGTAGAAACACAGTGAGGGATGTTGTAGATGATCTATGCTTAACTGGGACAAGAAAAATCCGAAGAGGGCTGTTACACTCTACTTAACGTGTGTCCAAAGCAGGTCATAACATTATTACGATGCTGCTCTGTGGAACGCGCTATTGATAAGCTGATACTTGGAGGGTTGAGAAGATTGCACTGGCAGTTGTATCTAGTAAGACTGGCATTCAATTTGGATAAATGGATGAAAATTAGTTGAACTTAACGTAGGGCGATGAAACCTAAAGCAGCAAAGTTATGAAAAGCTTATTTAGAGCTGGAGTGTGCTTCTTTAAACGAATGATAGCATTAAACCATCTCAACACCTAACCATTTTAATGGGGCCAATTAAAGTCCTAACACGATCACAGAATATTTCGTCTATGTTCTCAGCTGCATTCGCGGTATCAAAGAAAGAATACAGTGGCCCTTGCGGTGAATAACTAAATCATAATTGTAATGTAAATGAAACTATAGAAGGTTTTTGGAGATTTAACTGTTAAAAACTAAAATTTAAAAGCAGTGAACTTACCGCTCAGCTCTACCAACTCGACCAATGCGATGGATGTAGTTTTGTTTCTCGTCGGGAAGGGTTACGTTGATAACTAGAAGAATCAAACAAATACCAGATCAAGGGACGGCATTGATGTAAATATCTATCAGTACCAACACAAGCTGAGAAAAGTCTAATGAGCTCATTCCATATTTTTATGTGTTAAAAACCTGATTACTAAAGTTTTGAATAAATGCACGCTAGCTCAAAGTGTCGCTGGATGTTGAAAGGATGATAAGAGAACCCAATTAAAAACGAATGAATACAAGACTGTTTTGTGTCTGATAGATCTGTGCAGCGCTGCGGGATATTATTGAACTCAGCTTGACATTGGATTTAACAATCTTTCTTGTTTCGACTCTACAATAACAATTCTATAACGTGTTTTTTTTTAAATACATGTAATAATGTACATTTTGTTGTGAAAAAAATAACATTCAATTGTAAGGGGTTGGATAACCTTTTCATTTCTAAACTTTTTTCCAAATCTGAAAGCTAATTTTTTTAGTACGTCAACATTACGTTAATGCTACAAGGATAAAAACTTGTATCTAAAAACTGAAGAAAAAAAACTCATTGTTTGATATACTTGTTTGTGATTGACGGGTGCTGGCCGGGTAAATATCAATAATTTTATTTCGCGTCAATATAAAGAATAGCTAGCGATTGACGGCTAACGATCTTCCGAGAAGAATGGAATCCTGAGAACAAGGCCTGTCTGTCTGGTCTTGTCACCTTGGGTGAAGTATAGATGTTCATTGTCGTGTCATTGTCAGATCTATAAGAGCACAAATACATCTAGGCTAACGGGTTATCTTATTGGGTGAAGGATAGATGTCAATCGTGGTAAAATTGATACCAATCATGTATATATATATATATATATATATATATATATATATATATATATATATATATATATATACATATATAAAAATTGTGTGTTAAAAATTAGTTTTGACATTTTCAATTATACCGAAAGTGCTTGATAGCATATTTGGAAAAAAAAATTGCTCTATTTCAGGTTTAATAAATGTTTAAATACTAAGCCTGCCACTTCAAATTTCTTCTCTTAAAGTTTAAACCAGCACTTTGAACATTTACTTTTAGAATTGCTATTTACTGCTTCTTATGGTAAAATTTAGATTAACATAAGCGTTATTATTAATAATATAAATGCATATGACCCCTTTTTTCTGTAAGCCATTGACTTTAAGAGTTGAATCATGGCTTAGTTATTATTTTGTTTAGTAGGCCTATTTATTTGTGCCTTAGTCGCTTTTTCGCTTCTTTTTCGATGGCGTAACTTCTACTGTATATAAATGATTTTAAACCGTTCAACGTCTGGGTACCGAGTATATCTAGTTGCAAATAAATGTGATTCTTTAGAGGACAAGCCAGTCACAGACGTTCTGTAATTACTTAGCAGGACTATAGTCGTTGTTTTGTTTTGTTCCAGCGGTTAGTCAAATCAACAAAGTTCCATTTTGAAACCTCGGAACAAAGGCAAATAAAAACTTTCTAATTGCGAGGCCAAGTAAAAAGGTCGAAGAAAAATGAAAGAGTTTACCGTAAGGCAATCCGCTTATGTCCAAACCTCTGGCCGCGACATCAGTACAGATTAGGTATTTCACTTGTCGTTTCTGAAAACAAAATATTGACAAACGTCATAAAAATGTGTATCTCAAAGTAAGAAGCAAGCAATAAATAAACGGTTACAGAAATACGTGTGCACTCTAAGGAACATAAAAGAAGAAAAAAGATATCAATATCTTGTGCAAACAAAATACAAACTAATCTCCTTGAAAGTTGCACGCTTTCATCAATTATTTGTTGCTGAGGTAAAACCATGGTTGAAAACGATATCGTTGAGTTACGACGACGAAATAAGAGGGCTGTGTACGTGTGACCGAATAATATTTAATTACATTTAGAATAAGTATGATAAATATACACAGTTGAGTTACACTGCGTAGTATATGTGTTTTGGCGACAGCCCGCAGTTTGGCCAGTTCCGAAATCGGTTCAGATCTCTTGCACTTGCTCAAGAAATTTGGCAAAGCTCCATTAACTTGAAGTAACCAGTAAATATGATAGTTTAGCTGACCATTTCGTCACGTGGATGAAATCTCTAGACAATCTTTGATTTGCTAATGCAAGAACGTTGGGTAGGAAAATGCACTACTACATGCGCAACTCATCAATGTACAAATACAAACTCTAGTGTAACTCTAAATTTCATTAGTGCATTGTATTTTAACATTTTAGGGTAATGTCATTGATGAATAGACCTTGGTGTCACTCACTGTATTTGTTTCACACTGCTTTGTGTGTTTAGCTGAATTAATAAACGACATAATAAAACAGAAACTAAAAATACAATATATTTTTATGATGTGTAACTAATAATAAATATCAAGTATAAAATTATGCAAAATCATTTTTAAAAATCGGTAAATGCTTTTATTTCGTGACTACGTAGGCCGATCGCAACATCAGGAACATGCTATTTCGCAAACTGGCAAAACGATCTGGATATCATAAACAGATGAACAACTGCTGGTCGTCCAATATACAATAGGACTGGAAACTTTCCAGTTTAAGCCATTTCGGACTTTGATAATGTCAATAACGGAAAAGATAATGTTACATAGTTTATTTTATCTAAAATGATTATAGCTATGTTTGTGAACGCAAGAAATACTGATGTGTCACATATTCGAGAATTAAAGAGCGTACTCTGAAGTTGAATACCAAATTATCTTGGAAACTAAATGACAACTATTTTTTTAAAAGTAACTATCTCGAGTCACCCTAACAAACCATAGCATTGGTTTTCTCAAAATTGTAACGCTTTAAAATACACTAAAAGTTCGCAGATACGGGTGATTAGAACGTGAATATATCTGTATTTTAAAGGAGGAATGAGGGAGAGTGATGCAGATTGCAGTTAAAGAAAATATGGATCCAATTAACTAGGACTGCAAAGCAGTAATAGGTACATTTCTTGAGATCGTTAAATGGGAGTGCAGCAAATTCGGTCCACTAATTGGTACAATACACCTAATAAGCACCGGGATTTCCTAATACACGCTTTACATTTACCTAATGAAGCAAGAGGTACAAACTTCTTACCTTAAATTTCTCAAGATTCTCTTTTCTTTCTTGAGGTTTCCTATCTCCATGTAGACAAACACACGAGTATTTACCTGCAATCACAGTTTTACTCTGGTTAGTCAACAAAGATTCGTCTATCTATGGGTCTGATGAAAACATCAGTCAACCGATAGACAGAAGGGTGGACAGCACACAAAAGTGCTCTTACACTAACGATAGAAAATAAAAATAAATAAGTGCATTCGTTGTAGGAAGTAAAAGACAATTCGGAAAAATCATAAGCCATGAAGGGAATTAAAAATTGTAAGAGCGATTCCATCAATTGTTGATCTGCCGTGTGGTAAAAACATTTTTTGTTACAGAAATGCAGTCTTTACAATATTTAAATTAACAAAAACATTATTTATTTAAATTAAAAGTTAAACAAAAAAGACTCACGTAGATTTAATGGATTTTAAATCAGCTTAAATCGCAATTATAGTTTGAATACAAATTAAAAGACAATTAAATTATTTGTCACTGAACTATTGAACTTAAAACAAAAAAAACGAAAATGTGGTTTCTGTTTACAAAGCCAAATACACTAATATCTGGCCAGTGAACCCTTGTGTAGGAGAAGAAAAAAGTGATGAATGTCTCAAAAATAAAACTTAGCCACGGTACAGGCTTATTTTGTTTCATTCTAAAACTTTGAGGTGTTCTTTTTGTTTTGTGTGGGTGGGTGGGTGGAGGGGTTGGAGATATTTCGTGGTAGTTTCACGTGTGTCTAAGCAAAATACGACAGCCAGTGGGATTAATTTTCTGTAAACAGTTCAGTTCCTAAAATATATGCCAGACGTTACATGATCTGGGGGATTAGGGAGAGCTATGCATAAGATATCTAAAGTCTACTGTGTCTGACACATTACTCCTTGCTGACTAATCAACGCGATACTTCGGGTGATCAATTAAAACTAAATACATTCTTCACACCATTGATGACCGTATGGAGAAATGGACAGGGATCAAAGTAAAACACTAAGTTAGTTGTATCTAACGAGTCATGGAACAAAGACAGTTTTAGCAGCATTTTAGTTAATATACTTTTGTCAGTCCCGACCTCTACACGGTATACGGTGACACAACTTACGTCAAGCAATAATCTGGGTAGATTGTAAATTGAGGGGAACTTGAAAAAGCGTATAATATTCAATACATTTTATACTTATATAAGCTAAATATGTATAGATTTGTCAATAAAATTAAACTATCTATTAAACAGATTGTCATAACAAATACCATGGCTTGTGGAAGCCAATGACAGGTAAAGAAAAATCTATGGCGACAGGTTGATAGTGACAATACAAAAAGACATGAAACAATTGTATGTTTATAAATAAGACGCGAGTAAGATTTTCTACTGCTGGGAACAAGTTGCTCTATGAAATAGACGCATATCGTAGCACTCTAACATAGGCCAAGTCATGTGATGTGTACTTTTGTGATGTGTATGTTTGTGATGTGTATATTTGTGATGTGTATGTGATGTGTATGTGATGTGTATGTGATGTGTATGTGATGTGTATGTTTGTGATGTGTATGTTTGTGATGTGTATGTGATGTGTATGTTTGTAATGTGAATGTGATGTGTATGTTTGTGATGTGTATGTTTGTGATGTGTATGTTTGTGATGTGTATGTTTGTGATGTGTATGTTTGTGACGTGTGTGTGATGTGTATGTGTGTGATGTGTGTGTGATGTGTATGTTTGTGATGTGTATGTGTGTGATGTGTATGTGTGTGATGTGTATGATTGTGATGTGGATGTTTGTGATGTGTATGTTTGTAATGTGTATGTTTGTGATGTTATGTTTGTGATGTGTATGTTTGTGATGTGTATGTGATGTGTATGTTTGCGATCCGTATGTGATGTGTATGTTTGTGATGTGTATGTTTGTGATGTGTATGTTTGTGATGTGTATGTTTGTGATGTGTATGTTTGTGATGTGTATGTTTGTGATGTGTATGTTTGTGATGTGTATGTGTGTGATGTGTATGCGTGTGATGTGTTTGATGTGTATGTGTGTGATGTGTATGTTTGTGATGTGTATGTTTGTGATGTTATGTTTGTGATTATTATGTTTGTGATTATTATGTTTGTGATGTGTATGTTTCTGATGTGTATGTTTGTGATGTGTATGTTAGTGATGTGTTTGTGATGTGTATGTGATGTGTATGTTTGTGATGTGTATGTGTGTGATGTGTATGCGTGTGATGTGTGTGATGTGTATGTGTGTGATGTGTATGTTTGTGATGTGTATGTTTGTGATGTTATGTTTGTGATTATTATGTTTGTGATTATTATGTTTGTGATGTGTATGTTTCTGATGTGTATGTTTGTGATGTGTATGTTAGTGATGTGTTTGTGATGTGTATGTGATGTGTATGTTTGTGATCCGTATGTGTTGTGTATGTTTGTGATGTGTATGTTTGTGATGTGTATGTTTGTGATGTGTATGTTTGTGATGTGTATGTTTGTGATGTGTATGTTTGTGATGTGTATGTTTGTGATGTGTATGTTTGTGATGTGTATGTGTATGTTTGAAAAAGTATGTTTTCCCAACATGCACTAATTGTCTAAAACCACACTGTCAATGGTGAAGTAACATGAAGCCAGTGTTGAATGCTTACCTTTGCCTCTTTCTTGTAAATATTTCTCTAAGTTGTCGCAGTCAACTTTAGTTCTACAGAAGATCAACGCCACGTCCATTTTGTGTTCTTCAAGTGCATTGATGACGTACTCGCCCTTGAGTATTTTTACAGCCTCCGAGTAAGTCTCTGACGGATAAAAATAACAGTGAAAATGGCGAACTAAACTTCATCTTCTGACAGTTAAGAATTATTTTAAATTTCACTTAAGTTGTGTTTAAATCGTTTTCCAGAGTACTCGTACTGTGTGAAGGTAATAAGTATTTATGATGTCGATCTATTGCTTTTAAATATAGAATATGGTGGCTTTCTCCTAAACAAGTACACTCCTTCCTCCTCCTCCTCCCTCCCCCTTAAATTTCAAATTCCTTGCAGTTAAAGTTGTGGGAAAAGTCGGGCAAATAAGTAATCGCGAAATGCATGAACAATAGTGTGGAAACAGCTTTTTAAAAAAAAAAAAGTTATATATAAAATCCAGAAATCCCACCATTGTACCCCCTATAAATTCCTTAGCACGTATGTCTGAACATTTCACATAAGGCGAACAAGTGGCTTTAAAATAAATGTAAATCTGGCAGACACTGTTTTTGTGCTATACAGAATGGTCAACGTTTTTTTTAAAAAAGCACAGACTGTGGGCGAGAAAAGGCCGTCGGGGTTACCAAATGAAAACAAGCATGTCCTTTGAGCTTTAATAGGCTGGATAATTTAAACCAACGCCCCAAAGGGGTTTTTCTATGCCAAGCTGATGCTTCACTAGTATAATAAAGGCAAGAAAACCTTCCAACCCAAAACGTTAACTTATCAAACTTGATCATTTATAAACATTTTACAAAACAGTATTTATCATTCTTTCACAGAACTCAATGGCGTCTTTAATTTAAACAGTTCACGGTTCACATGATACATCATTCTAGTTCGGCCAGGTCTGTTTATTTATTTTTGCATAGTTAATATATATAAAACATGCTAACGTTTATTAAGAGATTTATCTAAAAAAAAAAGCCTGCTTTAAGCGCAAACACAGATTTCACACACAGAAATCTCTTACGATTAAGCACACACACGCAACTGCAACATTTAAACACAAATTTTTTTATAGATAAACACAGATATCTCATAAGCGAACGAAAATAGATAACTTTTGTTTTACAATAACCGATCTATTCTACTATAACTTAAGGTGGGGCAATATATATATAGGCCTACTATATATATATATATATATATATATATATATATATATATATATATATATATATATATATATATATATATATATATATATATATACAGGCCTACTATATATATGAAGAATTATACCCTCATTAATCAGATAACAAACTGTTGAACCAAAATAACAGCTGTTGTTTGAAACATGAGGAAAATAAAAGCAATAAAATATGCCATATGCTACCATTGGCAGTTGGTCTTAAAAGTTTTTATCTAATACTGGAGAGGCAGACTCAAAAGTATTATATAGTTTCTTATCCTGAACTGTATTATTGGACGATTGTATCCAGTGTTTCTTCCAGGCATCTCCTCCCTCGAACCAAATGGAATATATATATAGAAAATATATAGGCTACTTTTACCAATGTCCGCCCCCCCCCCCCACTGGAAATAAAGTCTGTAAGAAACACTGATTGTATCTTTATGTGTTGAACATATAAACGTCCATATATAAAAATATGCATTACTCAACAGTAATTATCTCACAATTGTCTTAGAATCTTCCGAATTATATTTGTATATGTGTGTGTGTATGTGTCTGTATGTGTCTGTGTCTGTGCGTATAAATAGCTTTATTGAAATCATTTTTAGAACGCTTACGCTTTCACTGTTACTATATAATATATTACAGCTAAGGCAAGAGTATGTTTATTTACAGTGCATTTAAAATCTTATTGGTATAAAAGTTTTTAAACTTGTTTTGCTTATGAGAAGTGATTTGGATAGCACCAGATGCGAATAGCAACAGAATGGCGGACGGATCTAAAAGATGCGATAAAAATGAGCGCGCGGACCGGAGGCAAGGTTTCGCGTAACAGTTGTAACACGGGCTGTGAATACAGAGCAGTAGAGGTAGTCTATAAATTGATTGAAACACGCCTAGCGCAGGCACACAACTAGCAGAATTATGGGATAACTAGAGCTTTCTTATTCATTCACCAGTTCTAGGAGAAATTATTTCAAACATTTTTATCGACTGCATTCAATCATAAGCTTTTTCTGTCGATATTTGAACAAAACAACAGCTCAACAGACTAAAGTTCAAGTGATTCGTGATTTTTTTTTATCATGATCGCAGGCTGTTGAAAAAGTACATTTGACGTATATTGTATGATGTTCTTTCCTGTTGGAGATAAGGTTTAGTAATATTGCTACATCTGAAAGTTACAAGCACCAACTCAGGTAATGAAACAAGATAACTTATCCTTTTAACCTGTGTTTATAGGCTTGCATAGTTCAGTAAAGTAAACATCTTTCTGTATCATACCCAAACTAGAACATAAATGAAGCAACATGTTTTCATTATATATGTTATTTTTGTGCCCACAAAAAAAGAAACCTCGTAAAATAACAGCTGTTAAATAGTTATGTTCATTGCGATAGGTTTTACCATCGTAAAGATAATAAAGTTAACTCACTTTGCAGGTACTGATAGATATTGTGATATAGATTCAATTTTGGTTGTCATTTAAGTTACCGACATAAACAATGCTAACTGTAGAATGTATATACAGGTGTAATTCTTAATGTGGGACCTCGACATATGTTTATATCATCATCATCATCATCATCATCATCATCACTATCTTCATCAGCATCACTATCTTCATCTCTCAATGATGATATCAAATAGAAATGACTTCTCTGTTAGGTTGTAATATATTAACCCAGATTTAGATCCAACTCACATCCTTAAAAAAATGTTACTGTCACTAAACCCATTTAGTCAATGCGTAGACGGCATTGTGGGCGCTTCATTATTAAAAAGTTAAGGTCTCTGTCAGCTCTCGTGCAAGACGATATTACTTTACAGCTTTGACTGTATCAATTGTTGCAGATGTAGTGGTTAGGTAATGTCATTTCAACATTTATTTTCGAATCGTTATTGAAGAAACAAAGTACTATTTCGGTTTTTTTTCAAGGTCGCTTCAAAACACGACAAGAAAGATTAGTCCTGCATTTAATTATGGCTTCTTTCAGCAAATAATTTTATTCAAAGACTAAAAATATAATTTTTTTAGCTTAGACTTTAAATTCGTAGTTTACTTAAATATCTTTTACGAACGTTCCAATTTAATATATAATTTGCTACCGGTAACTTTTTATTCTTAGTTTTTAAATTAGTTTTCATTCATAGATTTGTTATTTTAAACATTTCCCCAATGTTGGTGCAAATTTTTAGAAGAACACGTTTCATTTCATGTTAGGCAATCTTTTTTTCCCGGTGCTACTGGTGTGCACTACTTTGTCACCCAGTGGTGATTGCTATTATGTTTCTCTTTTATTTACTGTATTCAGGAGTGATTGTGTGTGTGTACATATAGAATATATATATATATATATATATATATATATATATATATATATATATATATATATATATATATATATATATATATATATATATATATACATGCATATATAAAAATAAAAACTGGCTACTATAATTGTTCACTAAATCAAATTAAAATCGTCACCTGCAGCACCCCGGGCAATATGGCGCCTAAGCTCGTTTTAAAGAGTACCCTACAAAATGGACACGGTTCACCACGGCAGTCGATGGTTAAACCGAACCAAGTGCCATACACGTCGTCACTGCGGTAGTGTAACCGGCGGCTCACGAGAACGCCCCGATACGCCTCTGACACCTGAGGGGTCGCCGAGGTGTGATCTGCCTCCCTGTTACGGAGGGTGGTAAACGTACACAAAAAAATGAGGACAATTTTTATCCTGACAGTCCATAGGGGTATGTAAAATAAAGTTCACCTGATTCTGTGACCTCTGCATGTGAAGGGATAATATTATTAGCGCTATGCCCCTAAAATGAGTGAGGTACCCGGAGCTAGGTGGACTCAGGGACGTTCTACTGACGCAAACCAGCGATTCGTATGCTCTACCATCCGACCACGCAGTCCAGTTCCGTACATTATTGTGTGTCTTACTGATATACATGCTATAATTTAAGAATTGTATTTTGTTCATGTTAATAACTTACATCAACGCCCCATCAAATAACAGCAATTCCGTTTATAAGTGAGCAGAGTAAAACAAAAGAGAACCATTTTAGAGAGTTAAATATAACGTTGAATTGAACACCTATGTAAATTTAAAACAACGAGATTGACTTCATCTCTAAACACTGTAATGCAACTTAAAACCATCATCAAAATTCTATTTCATAATCCGGGCGATCGTATATAGGATTACGGAGGTATTTAAAAATAAAGCTTTGATAACAGCTCGGATCTTTCGCATGAATAAGCCGACTTGATTATGTCCTGCGGTGTTATTAATCAAACTCCTTCGTTAGATCACACATTAACAGGTTAATATCGCCTGTCATAATGTGGCATGACCTGGTTCAATAGCATTTCAATTCTATACAAAAATATCTATGTCGGTCATAGTTGTTTTAAAAATAAGGTTCAGTGTCAAGAAATTGTGTGGCACTATTCTATCGTTTTATGTAAAAAAAAATGGTTTATTATATTAAAATGTATATGTATCGTGCGCAAGTAGCTTGGCAAGAGTGAAACCTCTACTCAGCTGGTCATAAATTGCAATGGTTATAGATACAACAGTTACTAAAGTCTCTACAAACACCTTGATTTATATAGTATGCGATCTCATCTAATAGTAACAGAAAATAAGATGTCTAAAAAGAAGGTAAAAGACGGTTCCAAAAAGTGTTTTGTAATCAAAATCCTCTAGAAAAAATAAACTGCAATATCAAATGCCTCGATGTATTTTAGTAGGCAACTATATTTTTTTTAAGTTTTATGGGCTTCTGAATGAATATGTATCTCATAACTGCAATGAAATAACAAAGTCATCACATATACAATGTACTGTGTCCCCAGTTTGCTATTGTTCTGTGTCCCCAGTTTACTAATATTGTGTCCCCAGTTTACTAATGTTCTGTGTCCCCATTTTAATAATGTTATTATACTTTACTAATTTTATGTCAGTAATTAATAGCTTTTATTTAGTTCACCTATCCCCAGTTTACTAATGTTCTGTGTCCCCAGTTTACTAATGTTCTGTGTCCCAAGTTTGCTAACTTTTTGTGTCCCCAGTTTACTAATGTTCTGTGTCCCCGGTTTACTAATGTTCTGTGTCCCCAGTTTAATAATGTTCTTTGTCCCCAGTTTACTAATGTTCTGTGTTCCCAGTTTAATAATGTTCTTTGTCCCCAGTTTTTATAATGTTCTATCCCCAGTTTACTAATGTTTCGTGTCCCCAGTTTACTAATGTTCTGTGTCCCCGGTTTACTAATGTTCTGTGTCCCCAGTTTACTAATGTTCTGTGTCCCCGGTTTACTAATGTTCTGTGTCCCCAGTTTACTAATGTTCTGTGTCCCCAGTTTACTAATGTTCTGTGTCCCCGGTTTACTAATGTTCTATGTCCCCAGTTTACTAATGTTCTATGTCCCTAGTTTAATAATGTTCTGTGTCCCCAGTTTACTAATGTTCTGTGTCCCCAGTTTACTAATGTTTTGTGTCCCCAGTTTACTAATGTTTTGTGTCCCCAGTTTAATAATGTTCTGTGTCCCCAGTTTACTAATGTTCTGTGTCCCCAGTTTACTAATGTTCTGTGTCCCCAGTTTACTAATGTTCTGTGTCCCCAGTTTACTAATGTTTTGTGTCCCGAGTTTACTAATGTTTTGTGTCCCCAGTTTAATAATGTTCTGTGTCCCCAGTTTACTAATGTTCTGTGTCCCCAGTTTACTAATGTTCTGTGTCCCCAGTTTACTAATGTTCTATCCCCAGTTTAATAATGTTCTGTGTCCCCAGTTTACTAATGTTCTGTGTCCCCGGTTTACTAATGTTCTATGTCCCCAGTTTACTAATGTTCTATGTCCCCAGTTTAATAATGTTCTGTGTCCCCAGTTTACTAATGTTCTGTGTCCCCAGTTTACTAATGTTTTGTGTCCCCAGTTTACTAATGTTTTGTGTCCCCAGTTTAATAATGTTCTGTGTCCCCGGTTTACTAATGTTCTGTGTCCCCAGTTTACTAATGTTCTGTGTCCCCAGTTTAATAATGTTCTATCACCAGTTTAATAATGTTCTGTGTCCCCGGTTTACTAATGTTCTGTGTCCCCAGTTTGCTAATGTTTTGTGTCCCCAGTTTAATAATGTTCTATCCCCAGTTTAATAATGTTCTGTGTCCCCGGTTTAATAATGTTCTATCCCCAGTTTAATAATGTTCTTTTATCCCCGGTTTACTAATGTTCTGTGTCCCCAGTTTACTAATGTTCTGTGTCACTAACGCCGCCATGAACAGAACAGTTATTTACATAACGCTATTTATTGTACTATATAGGCTCACTTCTCTACTGACATATCACGTCTGATGATTTATAACACTATATCGTTTAGTCATGGTTGTAAAATTGAAACACTTTATAAATCTACTACAGATATTTTATAAATGTCAAATTCAATGTGACATTCATCTGAGTCTTTAGTAATTGAGCATTACACTTTATTTAAATAGTGTACTTTACTTAGACAATGAACACACTGCATTCGCTTTCTCTTTGATCTCATTCTTCCTGTTCTTTTCGGCTTAGGCCGGAAGCGACACTTTGCCAACGTGCATCTCATCTCTTAAGTTTGCGATTACATCAATCGGTTGCTTATGTTTTATGTAATTAACTTACTAGTTGTAAGACCAAATGAAAAATAATAGCACTAATAAGTTATAAATTTCACTATGTCTGCTTATCAAAGCAAAATAGCTTAACTAGTAGAGGCGCACTTAGTATAAGAATCTAAAGGGCACGGCAGCTAAGTTGAATTTCCTTGGAATTTTGATATTGTCATAAAACGTGCACTTTTAATCACTTTTGGCGAGTTCGCAGCAGAATAGTATCTCAGCATAGTGGCGCGCGTGATAACGCATTTACAGACATATCATATTTCAGATCCACGGCGGGGTGGGGGTGGGGGGTAATAACATTAATAGAACACACGGCACAAATTAGTTTACAAGAATTCAAGTAATTATATAAGATACAATTACATACTTTTACAGATCTCGGCTAATTGGTTTTAACTTGAGTTAATTTACTTAAGAAAAATAATGAACCTTTCATATAAGATCCACACAAAGAAAACCAAGTATCACCGCTAGCTATAAAAAATCTTGTCTATGTTTACGCCTGTAGAATACAGCTCTAAACAAGTGTCAGATTCCTAAGCTCTCCTCAAACTGTTGAAAGAAACTAAAACAAAAGCGAAAGCTATTTTTGTAAGCTATATTCTGGTCTAATGTAAAATAAAAAAACAATACAGGTAGACTTTACGCTATGAGTGAGTCAATACTGGATATAAAATATGATATTTCACGACACATCTGGTACATGACATGGGTAGGTGTAATGTAGGGAGCAATATTATTATTAGACGAGATAAAATCACCAGATTTTTGTACGATGCAAACCCAATTGTACCTCAAAAAATTAGAAGATGATGCTATCCTCTTCAACTAAATATATAATTTGGTGGTAGAACCATCCCCCAAACATCACTCAAACCAACATATCAATAGTTGATACAAAATTCCCTAAACACCTCACAGCACTCTAACATTGTATACATTTCCAAAATCTTTTGACCTCTCTTACATAAGTGCTGAGGGTC